CCACCCACCCACACCGCATCCAGGGAGGCCCACAGTGGTAGAGGGACATCAGGCCTCACCTGGATGGCGCTTGGGACCAGATCTCCCCCAAAAGCCCCCAAGGCTGGGCACCCACCCTCTAGACAAGACTGGGGCCAAGGGCCACGCATGCCCCCAGGTCCAAGAGCTCATCAACAAGGTGCGGGCGGTGTTCGTGGAGACACTGGACGAGCTGAGTTGGATGGACAAGGAGTCCAAGAGGAAGGCCCAGGAGAAGGTGGGCAGCCCAACTGGGCAGCCTGAGCAGGCCTCACAGCCCTGCCAAAACAGAGCTGCCCTGGCCCCAGCCAGGAGCTGGCTACCCAGAGGCACTGACAGATATCATCACACCCACTGTAGAGATGAGGACAGGGAGGGGTGGGGGCTTGCTCAGGAAGGGGAACCTGGCCTGGAAACCCCAGGTGCCCCAGGGACGGGAGGGCTGGCCTGGGGAGCGAGGGCCAGACCCCACAGAGGCTGCCTAGACCATGTGACCACCGCATCCTAGGAACTCCTCCAGTCCTCGCCCTGGCTATCAGGGTCTAGATCAGGCAGCCCACGCCCCCTCATTGTAAGCCACATCTCCCATAAACCTCCCCACAGTCTGCAAGACGGGCTGGGGCTGGGTCTCTGAACCCCTCCCCCATAGAGCAGGCAGAGTGACATCCATCGTTCCCCGTTCCCCCACCCCTTCACAGGCCATGAACATCCAGGAGCAGATCGGCTACCCGGACTACATCCTAGAAGAAGGGAACAAGCGTCTGGACGAGGAGTACTCTAGCGTACGCCCACTGCCCCCACCCAGGTCTCCCCCCTGCCCCTGGGACCAGGGCCCTGATACCTGGAGGTGCTCTGTCCTCCCAGTGGCTACCTCAGCCACCTCACCATGTCCTGGGGTGGCTCCAACATTACTATTTACGGATGGGGAAACTGAGACCTGGAAGGACTAGGCGCTTGCTCAGAGTCCCAGAAATGCTCACAGCCAGGGCTGCCTCCTGAGTCCACCTCCACCCAGAGCCTGGCCAGGCTGAGGGCCTTCTGTGCCCTTGACCTCGCCCCTGCCCCTCCACGGTGCAGCCTGAGCGCCTGGCAGTGACTGCCCCTCCCATAGCTAAACTTCTCAGAGGACCTGTACTTTGAGAACAGTCTGCAGAACCTCAAGGCGGGCGCCCACCGGAGCCTCAAGAAGCTTCGGGAAAAGGTGGATCAGAATCTGTGAGTGGTGCAGCTGGTGTGGTACATGGGGCCCAGGGAGTGGCTGGCATGACTGGTAAGGTACACGAATCCCAGGGAGTGGCCAGAGTGGCCTGCAGGCATGGCTGTCGTGGCACATGGGACCCAGGGAGTAGCCCAAGGGTCACTGTCGTGGCACATGGGCCCCATGCTTGGCCGAGGCTGGCCCAGGGCCAACTAGCGAGGGCCACTGGACCTTCTTGGAGTCTTCTGCACCCTCTGCCTCTGGGTGCTCGAGGTCCCCAGGGAGGAACCAGATCTCGGGATGCGCTGGGTACCCTGCTCTGTCATGGCCACTGCAACATGGCCTCATTGGGAAGGGCCCTGGCCAGCCGGGGCAGGGAGGCCTGGAGGGAGGTCCCAGGGCAGGGAGGCCCAGAGGGAGTCCCAGAAGAGGAGGCTCAGGGAGCGGCCTGCCCTCACAGCTGGATCATCGGGGCCGCGGTGGTCAACGCATTCTACTCCCCAAACCGGAACCAGATCGGTAGGTCTGGCCCTCCCCGCCCGCCCTGAACCCACCAGTGCCAGAGCTGAGGGGCAGCATGAGCTCCACCCACCCCTTCCTCTAGCGGCTCCCCAGCTGTTCTCTAAGGGGAGCAGGTACTCCCTCTCCCGTCGCCCCATTTCCTACCTGCAGGGAGGGCCACCCCGTGTCCATGAGCAGGTTGGGAAGGGCCCTGGGAGCAGCACAGAATGGCGGGGGAAGCTGGACTCGGGTTGGGTCCTGGAAGGGCCACACCCCAGCCCTGTCTGCTCAGCTGAGCCTCAGTTTCCTCATCTGTGCCCTGGGGGGTGGGTCCTAGCCCCTATCTCCCAGGCTGTGGGTATAAGCAAAGGGACCCCTGGGGCTGGCCCTCAGCCCAGCACACAGTGCGCCACTTGGCACCTGGGGGACAGTGTTCCCCGCCGGGATCCTCCAGCCCCCCTTCTTCAGCAAGGAGCAGCCCCAGGCCTTGAACTTCGGAGGCATCGGGATGGTGATCGGGCACGAGATCACGCATGGCTTTGACGACAACGGTGAGGGTGCTGCCCCTCCAAGCCCCACACCCCCTTCCTTCTCCAGGGCAGCAGCCGGGCGGGACCCAGGGCCGTCCAGGGGAGGGCAGGTTCCCCGGTAAGCGGTGGGGACAGAGCAGGGCCTGAATACCAGGCTGGGCCCTGTCCTGGGCACTGGCTCCAGCATGGAGGAGAGAACCAGGGCTCCTTCCTACAATCCTGACTCCACCTGGTGACTGGTCTCTCTCACACACACACACACACACACACACACACACACACACACACACCCCAGCCCTGGCCGCACACTGCCCCGCACACCTGTGTACCTCGGGGCTCTGGCCCGGAGGCCGGCATCCTTCAGCCCAGGGGCATGCTGGCCTTGATGAGCCGATCTCCACCCCTGGCGGGGCCACCCAGCCTGGTCTTAGAGCTGGCCACCATGCAAGGGGCCCCTCTGGCTTTCCCACATGGCACAGCCCTCAGGACCATCCATGGGCAGCCCATGTCCCCGGCGGCCATATGCCCCCTCACCGGGGTTGAGTTTGGGCATCACAGGAGCAGTCCCTAAACCACCCAAGACACAGTCCCAGCCCGGGGTGGCACAGAAGAGCCCCTGAGCCCACCCTCTCTGGGGCCTGAGGCGACCCAAGGCGATGCTCAAGGGTGTCTTGCTCAGCGGGAGGAGCACTCCGTGCTGGGACGGCGGAGGAGGGACAGGAGTGCCCAGGCATTGGGCCAGGTCGTCAGGACCGGGCGCCGCACATGCGGACACATGGAACCCACCTCTGCCCCGTCCAGGCCGGAACTTCGACAAGAACGGCAACATGATGGACTGGTGGAGCAACTTCTCCACTGAGCACTTTCAGGAGCATTCGGCATGCATGGTCTACCAGTATAACAATTACTCTTGGGACCTGGCAGGCCAGCAGAACGTGAGCAGCCACCAGCGCCTCCCCAGGGCGCACCCATCCTGGGGCCCACAGGGGTCGGGGAGCCGGCACTGGGCCCCATCCCGTCTCCTGTGCACAGGTGAACGGATTCAACACCCTCGGGGAAAACATAGCCGACAACGGAGGGGTGCGGCAGGCCTACAAGGTGGGTGCCCGCAGGGCTGGGGCGGAGCTGAGGCTGTGTCCCGGGAATCGTCAGCCTGCCGTGGGCAGGTGCGGGGCAGCACCTCCTGCCGTGGGTGGGCACCAGGGCAGCTCTGCCCCACTTGGCCGCCCTCAACGCGCCCTCTCCCCTACGCCCACAGCCTCAGAACTGGTGAGCACTAGCAGTCAGGCACTCATTCTGGGTGGGCACTTTGGGGGGGGCTGCTTGGCCCAGCCCCTGTGGGCACTCAGTGGGCCCCTGAGTGATTAGAAGGGCAAGTGCTTGTCCACGGGGTGGGCAGAGGGGCCTGGGCTGCAGCGGCAGGAACCTCACGTGGGGCAGGGCCTGGGGCCAGACCTCATCCTGCCTGGAGGGCCGAGGCTCTGGAGGCCGCTTGGCGCCTGCAGGCATACCTCAAGTGGATGGCAGAGGGCGGCAAGGACCACCAGCTGCCCGGCCTGGATCTGACCTACGACCAGCTCTTCTTCATCAACTACGCCCAGGTGGCAGCACAGTCCCCATCCCCTGCATCCCCTGTCTTTGGCGGGCCCGCTCCGGTGGCCTCGAGGGCACCCCAGCTGGCAAGCCCTACAGAACCAGAATCAGGGGCAGGGGAGACTGCTTGGAGGAAGAGGGTGGGAGTGGGGAGGAGAGTTGGGGAGTCCATAGAGTCTTTGTTTTTTTTGTTGTTGCTGTTGTTGTTGTTTGTTTTTTGGGGTTTTTTTTTGAGTTGGAGTCTCACTCTAGCACCCAGACTGGAGTACAGTGGCCGCTCCTGGCCACCGCAGCCTCGACCTGCTGGGCTCCAGCAATCCCTCCGCCTCTGCCTTCCAAGTAGTTGGAACTACAGGCGCGCGCTACCACGCCCAGCTAATTTTTTATTTATTGTAGAGATGAGG